TGCGGGTGTTGCAATTGCGGTCATTGCAGTTAATGCGATGTGATTGTATTGCTGATTTTAATTGGGAGGTGTTTGAAATATACCGTTAAACTTGATGTTAAGATTTTTCGCTATGTAGAAAGTAAATTAAGTTTTTGGGGTTTTGAAATTTTGAGTTTTGATAGAAAATACTTCAAGAAACATGGGCGAAATTGTCAGATGTGATTTCTAATGGCGACCATACTCATGGTTTTAATTTGCTCCGCAATTGCGGTGTTATGCGTTGGGGAGTGCAATTTAAAACCATGATTGTGGCTGCATCAGATGGACTTAAAATTGAATGTATTTTGTTGCAATATCTAAATTCACCGCTTCTGCGACCACAGCGACAATTTAGAACCATGATAAGACCTATACTTAAAATTGATGTGTATTTTTGATTTGGTGTTTATTGAATGTGTAATGATATGTTATGTTGGGGTTGATTATGCAGGAACCGTAGTGCTGAAAATCTATATGGTTATGCGGCGGAGGAAGTTTTGGGGGAAGAGGGGATTGATTTGCTAGTGGATCCTAGGGATTGGGGATTAGCTTGTGATACGGTGAACTGTGTTATGAAGGGAGAGAGATGGAGCGGTCAATTCCTAGTCAAGAACAAGAAAGGAGAAAGGTTTTTAGCTGTAACATCCAATACTCCTTTTTATGATGATGGAAGCTTAGTTGGGATTATCTGTGTGTCGAGTGATTCGCGGCCATTTCTTGAAATGAGAGCTCCGTTTTATGGTGTAAAGAATGCTGAACCGGATTATGTTTCTGCTCGTCCTAAAAGTAGCATTACAAATCATCTTGGCTTTGACTCTCAGCAGCCGCTTCAAACTGCTCTAGCATCTAAAATTTCTAATTTGGTTTGTCCTTTAACTTTTATGTTTATACAATTTAGTATGCTGTGGTGTGTTTTGTGATGTTGGAACTGTTGAACAGGCATCGAAGGTGAGTAACAAAGTTAAGTCGAGAATCTGGACGGGAGAAAATAATGTAGACCATGAAGGTGGGAATGGAGAAAGTCGTAATTCTGAACATGGTTTCGTAGAACACAGAGAAGATGCTAATTCAAGCGGAGCTAGCACACCAAGAGGTGATTTGCCACAGTCCCCTGTTGGTATATTTTACCGTATTGAAGAAAAGTTTGAAGGAAAAACTTTGAGAGACTCTGGTGACGAGAGTGAAGGAAAACCGGATCACAAAGTTTTACATACTAAGGCCGAAGCCTGGGTTCAAAAGAAAACATTATCATGGCCATGGAGAACAAATGACCGTGAAGAATCAGAGTCAAGGAACGTGCGTGCTGCTGAGCCATGGAGGCAGAATGATCAAGAAAATGAGTCCGTTAGTCAGAAGAATCTTTCTTCGGGCTTGAAGCAGGAAAGTCAGGCCGGTGAAAGTAATCGCCGAACTAACAATGAGGCTTCGATACCCCGTTCTGCCTCCTATAATGTTATCAGCACAAGTAGTGCCAGCAGCTCTGGGAGTGCTGGCAGTGGTGCTGCCCATAGCAAAATGGACGTAGACTCTGACTGTTTGGATTATGAAATTTTGTGGGAGGATTTGACAATTCGAGAACAAATAGGACAAGGTAAGTCTTACTCTTAACTACAGGCGCTCACGTGAGAAATAATCTATTAGTTGAAATCTCGACATGCCATCTGTTTTCAGAGTTCAGCTTCAAATATTGTTTGCTCCTTTTTAGGAGCTCCGATAATTTATGGACTCCAACCTCGCAAACACAAATATTTAGTCATCAGAGCTTGTTAGGAATTTTGTTTGCTTCTCTTATGCTTTACTTGTTTCACATTTACCTTTTTGTTGATTAATTGCAGGTTGTTGTGGAACTGTATACCATGCTCTGTGGTATGGATCAGTATGTTCTTTTCTCTTTCCTTAATTTATTGTTTTATATTCATGCATTATAAAAGGATATTCTAAAATACATTTTGGTGACTGCAATTATGATGTCAGCTTGTATTCATGTTTTTGCAGGATGTTGCTGTCAAGGTTTTCTCAAAGCAAGAGTATTCAGATGATGTGATACTGTCATTCAGACAAGAGGTATGCTTTCTTTCCTATTTGAACCTCTTGAGTGCGTGGTAGCCCCCTAAAAGGCCCCTCTGTCTAACATTAATTTGACAATATGGTGTTATGTGAAGGTATCTGTCATGAAAAGACTTCGGCACCCAAATATTCTTCTCTTTATGGGAGCAGTAACTTCACCTCAACGTCTTTGTATTGTGACGGAGTTTCTCCCACGGTTTGTTCTGAACCTTACTATTGAGTTGACTCCTTTGTATCCTCACATTTTGATTACAGTTGTGCTGTGTCACAAAGTTCAGAGCTGGGCTGATTATTATTGTTTTCATTTGTATCTGATAACTTCAGCGGCAGCTTGTGTCGCTTGTTACACAAAAACACACCCAAACTTGACTGGAGACGACGAGTACTTATGGCCTTGGATATTGTGAGTATTTGTAAAAACAAATCATCTACTAGATAATATCTATCTTTTTATTCTAAATAAAGATATCTCATTGTTATGACGCCGATGCTTTTGGTGGAATAGTACCTTGCTATTAGAAGCATAGATTCCATTGGCATCTTAAAATGCACATCTTTCACTGTGTTTAAGCAATGTTGTATACTTACAGCTTACCATTTTACAGGCACGAGGTGTAAATTATCTTCATCATTATAACCCGCCTATCATACATAGAGATTTGAAGTCTTCAAATCTTCTAGTTGATAAGAATTGGACTGTGAAGGTACGCTAGTTGTCATTTTCTATTTATCCTACAATTTTGGATTTCCTAGCATTGCATTCGATTAAGTTGGACAATATCTTAACTATTTACTAACCAAACAGGTTGGTGATTTTGGTCTTTCACGTCTTAAGCATGAAACATATCTCACAACCAAGACAGGAAGGGGCACGGTAGGTTCATTTTTTTTTCATGAATCATAAAAAAAAAGTTCTGTTTGAAATTGTTATCCTTTACCTTTTCATTACTAAATTGGCTCAAAACATATTATGGATTCTACATTTCTTCTGCTTCTAGCCTCAATGGATGGCACCAGAAGTTCTTCGTAATGAACCGTCAGATGAGAAGTGAGTTCAATCTACATCCTTAGTTACTCTCTCTTCCCACACGCGTTTTAAAGTAAATGTCAGCCTTTGATTGTCTTTTTTGCCGCTTGTTAATATCAGGTCTGATGTATATAGCTTTGGGGTGATATTATGGGAACTTGCGACCGAAAAGATTCCTTGGGATACTCTAAACTCAATGCAGGTATTGCTTTCATGTCTACATACTACATACAAAACAAGGATATCACCTCTGAATATTTCTTTTTTATTCAACTACGTCGGTACGTATATGAACAACTGTTCCTCTAGGAATCTTGCAGGTAATTGGAGCTGTAGGGTTCATGAATCAGCGTCCAGAAATTCCAAAAGAGGTTGATCCAGGGTGGGCTTCTTTAATTGAGATCTGTTGGCACAGGTGTGCATTCTCATCTCATTGATAAACTTTGTACTTGTAATATCGTTTTCCTCGTAGCTCTGAATAAAGCATGAATAATGTCACCCAAAAGAACGATGTAATTGGGATTTTTGTCCTAAACAGGTAGCTGTTTCATCAATTTGAAATTACTGGTGTTTTGAATTTAACATTAGGTAGCTACTTCATGAAGCACATATTTCATTTCTGTAGCGCAATGCCATAAGAAGTTAGTGGTTGCACACTGCCTTTGATCTTTGGGTTGTTTAGTAGAAAAGTGTTAGAGATACACTCGTTGACGATATTTCTAACGCTTTGTATGTTTATTGGTTGAAATAGTATTGAAAAAATTGTTCGAAAGTGTGATGCTAGCTCTTCTCTCATCGAGTTTCATTCATACTCTTTTAAGCAAATTCTTAAATTCACTATACTATCAACCTCCTTTTGGTATTCTTATTCCATTAATATTTAAGCCAAGGTGATGCAATCACCAAACATTATATGTCTATTTATATGTTTGTCCATTTCAACCAGCGATCCAACTTGCCGACCAACTTTCCCAGAACTGCTTGAAAGGCTTAGAGAGTTGCAAAGACGGTATGTCCTTGAGTTCCAAGCAGCCCGATCTGCTGGTGGCGAAAGCATCCAAAGAAAAGAGCCATAGAGACAGCCGTGGAGCTATCTTTCTCTTCGTTACTCGAGGCTGTTACATAATTTTGTGCATATATATATAAATTTTTGGAGTATATGAATTGGAACAAACAGCTGGTCACGGAGCTTTGTTGAGTACCAGGTCTGAGATTGAGGTCTTCATCAACATCTGCCAATGTAATATAGATAGACAAGATATGGTGATTTTTTTTGTTGTTGTCTTCATCCTCGATTAGTCGACTCTACTTGGTGGGATAAAGTTTGGTTGTTGTGTCTTAATCCTCAAATTCATAGGGAATTGAGTCTCTGATGAGAAATAATGATTTAAATAGATGGTGATTTACCAAACTTTTTAATGTTGATTGAGTTAGTCAACTTATTTTTCTGCCATTATAAAGTTTCTTTTATTTACAATTTATTGGTGGGTGAGGATGTGTCTTAGATGTATTGTTCACTGCAGAATGTCTGTGCCATTATTTTAAAATTGTAGAGAAAGTAGTGAAAAGAAACAAATGTTTTGTTTTGGTTAGATCTCCATCATCATTACCGACTTTTGAAGTAAAAGTGTAGCTCAGCACAACAAGTTTTAAATGTATACTTTGCTACAAAAGTAATGTTATAATAGTTGGTATTAAGTGCTGCTGTTACAATTAAAAAAATTTAGCATAAAAAAGGCTCACAAAGTTTCATAACTTTTGCATATTTGCTGATGTAGATTACTTCTAGTAGTTTCTTTTATTCTTTTAAAATGTTGTAGACTTAATAGTCAATGACACACACTGAGTTGTTAAGCATAATGATAATGTTTAAACTTTCTAAGTTCTAATAATGTTTGACTGTTACATTGAGTTTAAGAGTGGCTCTAAGATTAACTAAATCCATGAACTCCGTTTCCATAATTCCATACCCTTTAACAAACCGAAAATAACCAGTCCCCGAAACAATTCCAAATTCTCTTTCCTTCAATGCAAATACATCAGATCCTTGAATCTCTAAGGTACTTCCTCTGAACTTACCAGCTGTAAATATAACTGAGAAAACCATGTACAATGCCTTGCCATCGAGCTGTGAATTTACGTACACGCCTTGAGCTCTACCGATGAGTGCAGAATGTATTGTTGGTCCTTCTGTTACTGGATCGTCGACTATTGCCACAGTGCCAAAGCGTAGGATGCTTGAGGTGTGTCCAATTTTGCCAGCAACAGTGGCTGCTGTGGAGTCTTCGCCGGTGAAGTGGTCATGGACGTAGAAGACGAGGTTGGTTTGTGTTGGTTGGAGTCTAGGAAAGGTGTATGCTACATAGAGAATGGTTAAGGTAAAGATGAAGAAGAATGAGTTGGAAGTGAGGTTCAGTGGATTAACCATGCTTTTGGCCTTCTCTCTAGCTATGTGTATTTGTTTATGTAATTGATTAATTTAATAGTAGTGAAGATGCTTTTTTGATTATTAATGGAGATTCCTATAACAAAGTGACAAAAGAGGCTCATGGCTATTTTATACTCTATTTTATTTTTTATATAATTGGTGACAATTCTATTATGACAATTCTCACACATTGAAGTATGTTTCTGATGAGAATTTTGAAGTGTGTTTCTGTTATGACAATTCTATTTAGATCATGAGTATTTTTTTTTAGACAAAAAATCATATTTACTCTCTTGAGGTTTTATGTGCAAGGCTAGCAACTATCCAAGCTAGGAACAAGTTAGCTTATAGATTGAGTTTGTTGAGCCTAAAGAAGGGAAAAAGTTATCTATTAAGGACGTGTACTCCTTGAGATTGATATGCACATGCATTTCAACCTCTCCTAAAAGAGTTGTGTCAAGATACCATGGTATAGTCATAACAGTAGCACAAATACGAATATCAGTTTTTTTTGGGGAGTTTGATAAAGTCACACTCTAGAAAGCTATGAGTGCAATAAAAGTTTGTTAGTACTGTACTTTCACCTACAAAAAGAATATTTTTCACATCATAGGTGGAAGAGTGAGATTTGAAGTCATGAAGACAGGAAAGTTATAGCTGTGATGATGGTAAATTGGTAATGTAACAAGAACAGTTGAGGGCTGTAAAAAATAAAGGTTAAAATACGAGTTACGGCGAACCATGTCAGTCCTTAAAAAAACTAATTTTCCATCTCAATTTGAGGCTTCAACCACATAGCGAATGAAACGTCGACACAATGACACGAATACCAGATACGATACATCAGACTTTGGTTAGTCAAACACACCCTTAATTTAAAATGTCGGTGTTATATAAGTTGTGATCTCTCTATGCATGCAAGTGTGACCATATTTTCCAAATAATAAAAGTGAACCCCCCTTTTTTTCTTGTTTCTTGCACATTTCTTCTATGTTAGTAAGCCTAATTTTTTAAAGGCCTTGTATAGGTTAACTAAAGTTCAAGTGTGAAAAATCAAATAGGACCCTATTCTATCATGTTTTAAACGTGGCAAATATTTTATGAAATCCTTTTAGCCACGCTTTCAATATAACAAATTTTAGGTCCTGTGCAATAGTCTATCTTTTACGCCCTCAAACACGACTATGGTTAATCATCATACTAACCACTGTTTATTCAGAACCTATGAAAGAAAAATAAACAAATACACAGGAAGCAGAATGAAGAAATTTCTAAAATACTTCATGCAACATGCAACCACTGTTACAACCTCACCACAGAAGCATTTGACTTGGAAAAGCTCGTCCATCTTTAACAAAAGCTCGTCCATCGTTAACCGTTGAGTCAAATCACTCGGTTATTGTGGATAACTGATTATGCTTTTTTGAAGTGTCTACGAATTTTTGTTTGTTTTTTCCGCAAGAAAATATATTTGGAGACTTTTTCGGAGTCAGCAAAATTTAGCAGACTTGAAAGCAAGAGGATACAAAAAGGAGTTAGAATAAGTGAATCTAACAATTTGACTAGAGGTTAAAGGTTTTCCTCCATTCACCAAACAATCATCAAAAGAAAGTCTCTTGAACAATTTCGGGTTGATTATTCTTGCAGAAGCAAACCAACCACAATGAAGATGGATATTATATGGAGCACACTTAGAAGAAACACATGTGTTCATAATTTGCACTACATATTGAGGAATTCCCCTTAGAGTCTCTCTACTTTGTGAAATGCTTATGTCTTTGTTTGTGCAAGAACCTATAAAAACCACACACATAACACATATCAGGAAAGCAAACAGACAATAAACTGCGCCGCTTAATATCTCAGGTTTTGAGATTGAGAATATAGAAAAGATTACATTATTATTACCATGCCATGAAAATTTAGAACCATTTCTGTCTTCATGGAAAGAATGCATAATCTGTGTTGAATGACCTGCTAACACAATGATGAACATAGGTTTTAGAGAAGAGTTATATGAGAAAAGTTGGAAAAAAAATAGTGGAATGCTGTTATCATTTTGTACCTGAATGTTTTTCAACATTGCAATGTACAAGAGGGATTATGAAGCAGATGAAGAAGAGAGAAGTGTAGTTAGTGATGGTCATTTTTGTTGTGTAATGCTACTTCTATCTTTTATTTGTTTGTGTGGATTTTGTAGGGAAGTGAATGATGGTTAAGTTGTTTTGGATATTTTGAGAAAGTATCTTAGACTGGATGAGGAGGGTGAGGTCACTAGTTGCTTATCAGCAGTTACATCTCATCAAACATGCATGGTCAATAGATTTTGTATGACTATTTTTTACCCTATATAAATGAATAAGTGAAATGTCGCAGATTTGATTCTGTACACTTGTAATCGATGTCATTGCTCAACTATCAACTAAACTAATATAACGAACTATATATTTGTAGTATTTCTAACGAGAATATTTGTGATAGTTTATATTTTTAGAGGTGAAATAATATTACAGAAAGAAACATAGGACAAAGGGAGTAACTTGTTCTTCCCAGGGTAAAAGGAAGATATTAGTCATTAAATGCACAATGGAAAAATGCCAAAAAGCTATTTCCTATATCAGTGCAAATTACAAAGTACAGACCAAGTTGTTTGGTTCAAAATTGTGTTCAAACATTTTACCCTTTAAATAAATTTCATACTTCATTTGTTCTAAAAGGAAAATTAGTCTTTTTTACTAGTAATCTAGAATTAAATGACTAAATGAAATAGTAATTTCACACGGCAAATAGTCTAAATCGTTAATCTAAAATCGGATAGCTTAAATTATGTAAAAATAAAATTAGTGTATGAGTCCAAATCACTGCAATAGCAGTTTCAGTGTAAACAATCTATATCATTAATCTAAAATCAAAAGATTCAAATTACATAAAAATAGAATTAGCGTCTCTTTGATTACCAATTCACTTTTTTTTTTTTTTTGTTGCGTTTGTTTAAAATTGCATTAACTTTTAATTTCTAAAGGAAAACTTAGTTTTGGAGTTTCTTCAAAATCACATAAAAATGATGTTTAAACGTTAGTCCGGTGTTTTAAAAGCCAACTCAAACACTCTTAGCGTGTGTTTGATTCCACTATGAAAGAGCAAAAAGTGATTCTAAGAATATATAATTCATTTTGTCATTAAAATTTATTTTACTCGAAACTTCTATTTGTAATTTTTATTAGTGCAAAACAAATTAAAATTAGGAGAATAATTGAATGAAGGTATATTTGATTGATCATAAGACGATGTATTGATAAAGTATTAGAGGTTCCAAATTAAATATACATTACTATAAAACACACAAATAATAACGTTTAATTCATCACGGTTTTTTCCAACACCGTGGTGATATCTCTAAACCCAAACACTAACATTTTATTTTATTTAAATTTTTTTTTTATTAGCACATAATAACGGTTGCAACCATATTCATGGTTATAGAATCCAGACTTTCTTGGGTTCGAACCTTAGTGCCCTCACATATATTATTCATTTAAAGTTAATGTACGCCTTTTCTATTTTATTTATTTTTATATCACCACGGTTGGTAACGTAAACTGTTGTGCTTATATTTATATATAAGCGAATTAACTCTCGCATTTTCACAATAGCGTCATATCATTCACACCAAAACCCTAGAACCTATTTTTTCTTTTCTTCTTCATCATTAACATTCCTATTCTACATTATAGCTGTCAATCTTGTTCTTCTTACATAAAGGTATTCTTCTTTTTCCTTATTCTCTCGTTTTCGTGTATGTTGTTGTTATGTTTCACATGATTTTTGTATTACTTTCTTCTTGTTAGATAGTTTATGGTTCTTTTATTGTTGTATGTTGTTCTATGTTGTTGTTGCATGTTGTGTTGTTGACAAATAAGTTTGCGGTTTCACATGTTGATAATTTTCATAGTGTTTGTAGGACTCAAGAAAAGTGAATGAAAAAACAACAACAACAACAAACTTCATCTAGTTTGAGAAGCTATGAAAAGAAATATTAGAAGTATGAAGCTATTGTGTTAACTTCATCCACTTTTTATTTCTTTTTCATGACTTCACAAACTAGATGAACCTCATATGATGATGATGTTGGTGGTACAAGCTTATAGTATTAATTGATAAGATACATATGGTGTTTGTAGCAATGAAAAAAAATAGAAGAGGTATGAAGTCATTGTGGAAACTTCATCCACCTTGTATTTCTTTTTCATTGCTTCACAAACTAGATGAACCTCATAGCTCCACGATTATTTTCAATAAAATTGCATTCTATAAACAACTTAATATATTTTTTGATAGTGTTTGTTGTTAGTGTTTTGTGGTTAAAATGTATGTTTTTGTTTATTGTGTTACATGTATTTGTTGTGTTATTGTATGATATTTTTGTTGATAAATATTCTCAAAACAAGAACAAAACATTACTAACTCATAAGAAAAATGTTTATTGTGACTTAACAATGTTTTTTTCTTTAAATTCTTATACAGGTTGACAGAGGATGAAGTTTAGTTTATTATTACTATGTATATTGTTTGTTTCACTAGCCTTTTAACAAAAATGCAATCATTTAAATTGACATAGAAACTTATAATCTGTAAATTAACATGTATTTGAAAACCAACCTATATCAATCAATATTTTCCGAATTGCGTGCGTCTCATTCTGCATATTTTATGTTCCTTAACCATAATATATGGTTCAATGGTCGATTTCCTACAATACATCGATATCTATTATTCTATTTTACCTCGTCGTCGTCGCTTATCATCGTGATTGAACGAATTCGACCATTGAACTATATATGTGTTAAAGAATATAAAATATGCACGATGAGATGTAGGCAATTCAGAATACATTGGTGTGTTTAAGTTGATTTTCAAGAATAGTTTAATTTTCAGATTATACAGTTCTTTACCAATTTTAATGTTTGTATTTCTATAATGAGGTTTATGATAAAACAAGCAATATGCATTGGTATATAATAAACTATGGGTACGTTCCATAACGGTTTTCTATTTTAACTGTGATTTAATATAACTTATTTGTTGCTGCTGGGTTTCGAACCCAATACCGTATATATCACAATGGTGGATAAGCATAACCATTGTGATATGATGCGCGCTTTTTAGTATACGACAATGGCCCCAGGACTGTGATTGTTAGTAATGAATTTACAACAACACTCTACACAACAACGCCTGTACCTGTGTGATTATATGTATGTTCCAACCGTTGTTAAATGGGTTGTTCGTAGTAGTGATAACCAAAATTAATTAATACCGACAATCATAATAGACTCATTAATTAATTCTAACTATCTCAATTACCTTAATTTAAGCTAACTACCTTAACAAGGTAACTTGAGTTACAAGAAAGTTAACTTGAATTACAAGAAAGTTAACTTGAATTACAAGAAAGTCAACATCCTCTCGTATTTCCAGTTATCTAGAGATATCACACCAATCTCTTTCTTACGCTTTTCAAAAGAGTCAATCTTAACTTATTTAATGAATAAGTCTACCAATTGTAATTTATTTGAGATAATTGAGTTCATTAAAATAATTAGATAATCATTTTATTTTAATTTAATTAGAGTATTATTTGAATTAAAATGAAATAATAGAAATAGAGTAGAAAATGTAAATTAAGTGAGGGTTTGAGGAGAGTTGATGGGTGAGAAAAGAATAAGAGAATTAGGATAAATAAATAGATAAGTAAGGTAGAGTTTTGTAAGATCGTGAAATTGAGAAAAGTTTGGAAAGAAGGTAAAGAGGCAGGAAACTAGAGCGATCATAGGAAGAAAGAGAAAGGTAGATCCCAAAAGCTAAGAGTTTATCGATCTGCAATTTTGAGGTAGGGGAACTATTCAAATATAGGTGGTTAGGCAGTCGAATATTGAGGGATCCTTACCCTCCTAACTTCTTCTTCTTATTCTATATTTGTGTTGTATGTTTGTGGCCAAAAGGTTTTCCTCAAACCCTTCTGAATTGATTCTTGAATACTATGCTATTGTTATTACTTGAATACTTGTTGATGCATTTTTCTTTTATGATGATTTGTGGTTGTGCCATGTGGAAAAACTATAATAGTTAGATCATGGTATACAATTATTTGTGGTTGTGGATCTTTGTTTTTGGAGCGAAATCATGAAAAGCCAGAAAATTCCACATGGCATTTTTTTCTGAAAAATTGGAAACCGAAACACGATTCGAGAATTAAAGAGGGGGGGGGGGTGATGCACGCCTATCCGGCGGTGAGATTTCTCTCCTTATCATCAATGGAGGGCGCACGACTCAGCGACGCGAGGTCAGCGATGCCTGAATACGCGTACAACAGAATCCATAACAACGCTGACGTGGGTTAGCGTAAAAAATGGGCCACGATGGTAACCGTGTGTGCTGGGTGGTATAGAGATTAACGATTTGGAGTGGCGGGTCATGACGATCGGCGGGTCGTTGTTTCAGATTCGCTGTCCAGTTGGACAAGTTTTGAGAAATTTTGAGTTCGGTGACCTTTCGTTACCTTTTTGATAAGTTTAAATGTCAGATTTGTTATGTTAAGAGTTGTTATAAAGTTGTCAGAGTTGTTTTTGAGTTGTTTAGAGTTGAAGTAGAGTTTGCTTGTGAACTCTGACATGTTTTGAATTGACTCTATTAATCTTGTAAAGGTTGTAAAATTATTATTATTACCCTATTGGTGGGCTTACATAAGTAATAATGTGTTTACTCTGCTAATGAGTAATATTGAGCTTATATGTTAATGATTTTTCTCTATTGATGAGTATTTTTAAATATTATATGATTAAGTGGTTGAGCTATAATTGTATAATATGTTGAGTTGAGTAGTTCAGAGAGGAACTATAATGTTGGCCTTACATAGGAAAATTTGTGGGCTCAGAGAGGAATCTTGTTGAGTATGAGATGCGATTGTTATTTGTTGCTAAGTATGAGATGTGAATGTTATTTGTTGTTGAATATGAGTTATAAATGTTATTGTTTTGATTCATGCATTCATGTATATTGGAGATAGGTAGGACTTCGGTCCAACGAAGTCACAATTCTGAGAGGAAATAATGACAATCTCAGGTTTAGAGAGGAACTAGGTTTAGAT